GTTGCTTCAGGCTGGAACAGGAGAGAGAACGTGGGATAGGGAGACACAGCTGGCGCAGAGTTTCTTTTTAAGGTGAAAAACAATAACTCTAAAATTGATGGTTATGTACAACCTTGTGAGTATCCTAAAACCACTGAATTGAATATTTTAAGCAAATGAATTGTACAGTATGTAAACTGTACAGTATGTGAATAACAAATGTTACTAAATAAATGTTACTAAACTAAATGCTGAATGACTCCCAAATGGGTTGTTAGTTTTCACAAATAAAACTACCAATATAGTATGGCTCATACTAAAAGCTCACTTGTTATATATCTGAAATTTAATTTTAACTCAACATTCTATATATTATCTGGTAAATCCCAAATCTCTTATCTCCAACCTAGAACACAATTATCCTCAGTTCTAGGTACATGTCCTCAAATATATAACAGGCAATCCTGTTTGATTATGCCCCAAATATCGAACATTAACAAAACTAAAATTACCTCCATTTCCTCTGAGAGGATAGTCAAAATATGTAAGAACTGATACCTTAAGGCTTACAGAGATCTCCTGGAGATGACGTGTGGTGCCCTCTCCCAGCTTCTAATGGCCCGGCATAAACACCAGTGGTGGGATCACAGGTAAGAGGAGTTTCAATATGTTGAGAAGCCTCACACATGCTAGTATCAGCCTTTCTCTCAAAGGAAAACTGAGCCCCCTTTTCCCAACACTTTGCCACCATGATCTTTGCCCTGGAAATCTCATGCCCTACCCAGTCCCCACAGTACATCAATTTGCTTATAAAAGAAAAATCTGTTATCTTCACTCCTCTGCTTGAAACCTTCCAATGAATAGCTCTCACTGTCTTAGTCTGTATACCTTACATGATTTATAAAGCCATCCAAAAAAAGGTCTCTGAGCCTGGCATGATGGTACACACCTGTAGTCCCAGCACTCTGGGAGGCTGAGGTATGAATATCACAAATCCAAGCCCAGTCTGGGCAACTTAGCAAGACTCTGTCTCAAAATTTAAATTTAAAAAAAAAAAATTTAAGGGCTAAGGATGTAGCTCAGTGCAAAGACCCTGGGTTCAGTCTCTAGTACCCAGAAAAAAAACCACCTCCATCTTTCTTGCCACACTCTGCTGTCCACACCTTTCCTTAATTCAAACACCAGCCAAAAGAGAGTCCTCACAGAAGTCATTCATCATAGCCAATACTCACTCTCACCTCCAGGCATCTGTCTGTTATTCTTTTTCCCTTACCTCCCACCATCCCTGTGAAGTCTTACCTGAGCAACTCCTACTCAACATGCAATATCTAGCGGAAGACACCTGCTCATCCAAGAGCCTGTGCCTGAGGCCAGTGTAGAGTTATGCACCTTGTGCCTCTCCTAAGAGGCTTTAAACATCATCTGCCATGCAATGCTGCAAGTACTCATCTATAACCCCTCTGGGATACTAGAGAGCCCACAGGGAAGGGGACTGTGCCTGCCAGGTCAGGAATTTTAGCCCTGATGGTCCATTTCATGTCTGGTATATAGTAAGTTCTCAATGGCACAAATAAACTAATCAATAGTCAAAACTTAAAACTATGTAACTCAATGTTATAAGGATCTACCTGAGTATCATTAGTCCTTTTCAACTGAAATCACAGAAATAATCCAGAGAAAAGTTTTCTTTAAAATTTTTGTCAATTTTTGTCTGCTTGAAATACTTCAAAATCTGAAGGATAAAGTTCAGATAACCACTTTTTCCTCCTCCCTCACATACATACATACATACATATATATACATACACACATATGTACACATATATATGTACATATATACACACAATATGTACATACATATGCACAAACTTCAAAAGGCGGAGGGAAATATATGTAACTATTTAAAAATAATCATAATTGATATTCTCATCCTAGAAATGCAACACAATTGTGAGTTAGGAAGAGAACTTTCTTGAAGAAACACTACAAACTAATTTAACAGAAATGTGATATTTAAGCAAGTCTTTATGCCACATCTTGTTCTAAAATGAACCTAAATCAGGCTACAAAAATATGTAGAACACAACTAAATAAAATTTGAAGTAAAGAGAGCTTCATTAGACAAATGCATAAAAGATAAATTTAGAAACATTAGGGCATAACATACCTGCTTCACAGCTCTTGTGTAGGTGCAAAGGTGGTCAAAATATGGCTCTCTGCCCAGTGGTCTTCTATGACACTCACCACATAAATGGTGCAAACCATGATGCCTGGACGCGTCAACCCCCACTACTCCCAGCCCTGAGACGTGACTCTTCCCAGATCCTCTCTCAGTAGCATCTTCCTCTGATATTTAACAAAATCTCACAGTCACAGGTTGTTGTTCAACTTTTCTATCCAAAACTTTTCCTTTTACAAATACAGTATCTTCAGTTTACCCCCTAAAGATCATCCTATTTCTCTTCTGGGACAAGCTCGATGCCCCAGTGGCCTGCTGTACTTGTTACATAGAGTATAATGCCAAAACTGCCTCTCCTTAACTATATTTTACATTAGATCTAGAAGTCATATTAGTTACAACCACACGATTTACAACTGCCTTTTAAAAATCTATAGAGGACAACGTAACTATGAAAATTTTGTATTAGGATAAAATCAAATTCTGTGTTAGCCCAGTTCTAAATCACATACTAACAACTTTAAGTTCAGGCAAAAGAGCATAAAACCAAAGCACATTTTGATTCACTCTAAAACAAATCTTTTCAAACAAATTCCTTTTGCTCTACCAAGATTTATGTACAAAAGCTGAAAGCTGCTATCCTCCAACCTTAAATAGAAGACTTGGAGAACAGTTAAGTGGTTTGTTCCAGCTGTTTAAAGCTACAATCCCATGAGGCTGCCTCCTGAGGCATTTTAGACGTTACATATTTAAAACTAACAGAATGGGTCAGTTGAAGGACATTCTTGAGGTCTGCATTTGATCAAAACTAGGGGCAGGGAAAACTGTACAGAAATTGGAAATATACTACAGATACATGATAAAATTAATCTTTAAAATACATTTCAATAGTAATTTTAAAAATCTGGAGCCAGAAATGGTGGCACACGCCTGTAATCCCAGCAGTCAGGAGGCTGAGGCAGGAAGATCGCCATGAGTTTGAGGTCAGCCTGGGTTACACAAGCAAGTTCAAAGTCAGCCCGCACTACCTGACAAGACTCTGTCGCAAAAAAAGCACCCCTCCCAAAACAGAACAGTACACGTGTTAACTGTGCTAGCTATCTAAATACCAGTAATATCCATTTATTTGCTTCACTGTTTCTAAGAAACCAGATACCAGTATCCTTCAGAATGCTTCCAACCACTTGTTACTGACATACGCTTTGGAAAGCATCCTATGCTTAGCATTCAACAGCCAATGTAACTTAAGAATTCATTTTATGCATTCAGTTCTGTTCTTTTAAAAGAACCATCCCTGTAAGTTCTTTTTGGTCCTTCACATGCTATGCTAATTAACTTTTTTCTCAATACTTAATAATGTCTATTTAAGTCTGCTTAACTTATACAGCTATCAAAGAATTTCGGTCTTTACTGTTTTATCTGAAACTTACAACTTTGCCAACAGACATTCTGACTTCCACTTTAGGTTTAAAAAAAACTGCAACAGTAACCATGTGATAAATCAAATAAACTTGCATCCACTGTTTTGGTGTATGTTTATTTAATATTTAAGGGATGATAATATCAATTCAAATACTACACTTCATTCCTTCTATCAAAAGAACCAATATAAGTTAAGTTAGTGCTTAGCTATTCAACTTCCATAAATTCTACACAGAAATATTTTTATGACTATCTCACCAAGGCAAACTTCATCAACTGAAATCCCAATACCATTTCTAAACCCCCAAAATAACTAAACTGCCTAAAACTATTTAGAGCAACGAGATACCTTGGCAATTACATTATCATGAAAGAACAAATAAAACCTTCTAGTCTTTAAACGTACTGCCAGGGAAATCCCACATATCAACTTTCGCTTCCTGAGAATTGTTACTCTTCAAAGCATACAAATTTCAGTAAACTGGAAAATGAGAAAGAAGAAAAAAAGAATTCTCCTGTTCTATAAAGCAACTGCAGCTCAGCAGTGGCTCATTTACAAATTCTATACATCAATTAAAAATCTCCCATTATGACAGACAACAGTAACAAATTTAGCTGAACTGGCTTAGGTCCAGATTTCATGGGGACATGGGTTTCTACCTCGTACAGACTCACGGAAGACTCTAAATTTCTTTCAGCTTGAGTTAAATGAGAGAAAATGCAATTCATATTTCCAGAAGCAAAAGTGGCATATTTTCCAGTAAGCTTCTTGTTCTCATTTTACTATTTTAAGAGTTCTGATCACTCCCAGTGTTTCTCTAAGACAAGATCTGGTTCCTGGTGGCCGATCATTTTCATGGCATGATGCTTTACTAAAACTGTCTCCAAAAGCTGGTTTTTATTCACATTTAGCTTCAGTGTACTGTATTTATCTACAAAATACCACTTTGATGGAGTTGGGCCAATACAAGAAACAGCTTACTAGAATTTCAGTTGACTTTGTTAAAGGAAATTATTTTAAATTAATGTGGCTACTGAACTGCTGCCATTCTTGACCTCAGAAAATATATTCCTTCTAATTTTTGCTGTGAACATTTATTTATTTAAGTTAAATTCCAGCTCATGAATGTTGACTATAAAGGAGCCTAAACCTTCTCTGCCACTATTTCATATTCTTTTTCTAAACAAGGCCAACCACATGTTTGCTACATTAGCATGAACAGCCAGATGACCACCATTAAGTGAAATCATCTATGTATTTTTGGTATACTCTTTAACAACATCCACGCCCGTCAGTGAAATGGAACAAGGCAGTTTTGTTTTCAGAAAGCAACAATTTGATCTCTGGTTTACTAGATGTTGCTCAAAATATTTTTCCATATGTTGTTTGCAAAGAGAATCTGACATCAGCATGGTTTACCTTTACCAGTGAATGCAGGCTTTTTTCACCAAACATATCCCAAAGGAAGGTCAGGTCTTCCTGGCTATCCACATGTGGCTGCAGCTGGGCTGGCAGAGCAGCCAGCAGCTCATACAGACCTATAAAATGAAAATAAAACACAAAGCGTAATCTTAGAGTGATCTCATTAATTTCGCTTAAGGTGTGTGTAAATGATGGCTGGAACACATCGTTTTTACTAGATTTGTATTCCTGGCCATCAAGCAAAGTGCTTCTCCAAAGAAGCAAAGGAAGCTTTCTGATTTTTAAATCCCAAAGAAGTATGTCCTAACAGATGAGTTTCTACCTTTCATGGCTGTCAACATTCTGCAGTCATCCAAGTTTACATAACCCGAGCCCGAAAATGTGTACAGGTTTTCAAAGAAAGAAGAAAATGCACACATTCCTTTCCTTAATTGTTATTACATTTCCTTCAGTGTTAGCCAAAGAGTGAAATGAATCATGAATAGGAAAAACTTCCTTAGGAGGACAGAAAGTTGATAGAGTGGCCCATTAAAAAGGTTTTGTAGTTTCCAAAGAATTTCTATTAACACATAGCTTCAAAATATTTGCAATTCTAACATCTAAAATGAAGTTCTGCCAAGGAAGACACAATAAACCATACATGACCTACTTTATTGTATTCCACCATTTAAAAAAAAAAAAACTGATGTTGAACTAGGTTTAGAACTGGGGCATGTGGCATTTATCTCATTCCCCTCTGAAAGAGTTAAAGCAGCAGATGCGGCTCCCGGGCACGCTCCTCGCTAGCTGGGAGCCTCCCTGCGCAGACAGTAGCGCAGTGTTCCACAGTAGCGCACTGCATGCCCATCCATCTCCATCAAGCCTGTCACACTCCTGTCCAAGAAATGTTGCAACAGTGCTCACCCAAGACCCTTTGGGGAGGTGACCTGGCAGAAGGCAGTATCAACTCATAGCACATGTTTCATTCTCCAGTGGGATTACATGAGGTAAAAAGGACAACATTCCTTTTATTTCTGTCTGCTGTCTAGAAAAACACCGAGACCTCCTGGGCAGGACAGCACATGGGACTGTTGTTATTTCTGGTCTGAATAAGCATTGCTGTTCATCAGAGGGACAGCTTTACAAGATCTTTACCGAGTGAATACATGAACTGCTGCTGATTAGTTTATCTATTGTCTTCCTAAAGCGTGACCAGACTCAGCTGATTGGTGATAATTCACAACCAAAGAATTAGGTGTAGAACTGGTGAGATTTGATTAAATTTAAACATTCTTGGGGCTATATTTAGCCAAAAAAAGAAACACCTAAATCACTCTATTAAATACACACACGCACGCACGCACACACAAAACTTCTCCCAATTACATTCTTCTTTTTTTTGGGGGGGGGGGGTTACTGGGAATTGAACTCAGGACCTTGTACTTGCCAGGACCTTGTACTTGTGCCACTGAGCTATATCCCCAGCCCCCAATTACATTCTTAAATATTCTTGGTACTTTGGTTTTTTGTCCTTTAAAAACCTGGCATTGTGACTAAGTGAGCTTATACTTATCATTTAATAGAACTAGATTTAAAGTATGTCCCTATTCAACCTATATAATATTCTCTCTCCCTCTCCCTCTCTCTCTCTCCCCCTTTCTCATATAGTGCTAAACAACTGCCAAGATAGGTGATTAAAATCAGAAGTTCAAAATGTGAAATTATATAAAAAGATGGTGGAATTACATTATTTTACTACTTATTTCAGGAGCTGTAAAAGTAATTACTTATGCCTTGTGATATAACTTAGAGTTTAAATAAAGACACCAGCTCCACTGTGATATAACTTTACACGGTATAATTGCTGAGAAGTTTAAATGGTTAATACATTAGAACAGGTCCTGCCACATAGTAAGTTCTATGCTCCATCTGTAATTTAGTGAGATTCAGCCACTGTTGCTATTATTATCACTGAAAAATAGACTGAGAGTCACACACCCATCATGTCTACACTTGTAGCATTTCATGTAACTTATCAGAGTCTTGTCTCTCTGTCATGTTTAAAAAGAAATGATAGCCTGTATATGTAGTAAAATTGCACAGAGCTAACTAAACAAATACACACTAAGGAGTGCATAGAAAACTGATGAAATCTGAATAAGGTCAATGCTGTACCTTATTTTGTTTTGTTTTAGTATAACAAAATGTCATAGACTGGTAATTTTTTTTAATTTTATTAGTACATGTTTATAGTATATGAAATTTACATTCCTTTTTGTGGAGTAGATACTGGTATATAACACAACTTGTTGTTTTTTGGTTTTTTGAGACAAGGTCTCTCTTTGTAGTTCAGACTGGCCTTGAACTCACTGTGTAGCCTATGCTGGCCTCAGCCTCGAACTCACAATGATCCTCCTGCCTCAGCCTCCTAAGTGTTGGGAGTATACCAGGTGTGTGCCATGACACCCAGCTCCAGACTGGGTAATTTATAAACAACAGTTTAGTTAGTTCACACCTCCGGATGGCAGGAAGTCCCTTATACTGCCAGGTGATAAGGGCCTTTGGTTGTGTCATCCCGTGGTGGAAGGCAGAAAGGCAGGAACTCACTCTTATAACAAATCCACTGTCCCACTCCTGAGGGAAGAGGCCTTGTACTCCAGACTTCTACTATGCAGCCTGACCTGACACTGTTACATTGGGGATTAAGCTTCTAGCAATGAACCCTGGGGAAGACATGCAAGCCATGGCAGACTGCGTCAATGGCAGTTCCCTCATTTGTGTCTCTGTAGCAGTTCTATACCATGTTATTACTGGAGGAAAGTTATTATTAGTGCGGGTCCATGAGATCTCTCCATATCATTTCTTAATAACCTGTGAATTTACCATCATCTCAAAACAAAATTAACAACCCCCCCAAAAACACTGGTGAAAATGTTTGTCGTAAGAATTCAGTGGAACAAGAAAGCACTTATTCTCATGACTGGCACTTCATAAAAAGCAATATTTTCTTTTCCTTCACACGGCTTCCTCCAGAATGAAAATGTCACTTCAGCTCAATGGTTCAAAGTCAAACAACATCTTAACCATACAATCTGACTGGATTATAATACTATATTTGGACATAAAACCTCCCTCATCTTTTACATATGGAAAGTGTTAACACAGTACAGCTTATATTTTGTAGAATAAGGCATATTATGCTTAAATTTTTAAAAAGTAATTTTTCTGTTAGTAGAAGCACATAAGCCTGAGTGCTCTGGTCTTTACTAGCCTTATGCAAGCTTCATGCAGTCCTAGTCCATATGCCACAATCCAGTTACTACTGACAACAGCAGCCCCTTCTCTTCAGCTACTACATCCGGTAACCATGATCAAAGCCAGAAGAGACAGGGCAGGCCAACCCCAAATCAAAGAGAGGGTGAAGGAAGCAACAGGCTAGAGGTGTGTGCAGTCTGAGAGCAGCCAACACAATCACATCCACTTAAAGGCAGTAAGGAGGCCTACACCCTATCTTTAACCATTCATCAATTTGGGTCTGTGTTCAGACACATGTTTTAAATACTACACTTAGTTCCTTTTACCCAAATCGTCTTGGTCCCTGAACAAGAACTGGGATAATGAAAGTTACCCTGTGCTCTGCAATCATTCAAGCTCATCAGTACTTCATTCCGGTAAACACTTGCAGTAGCTATTGACCAAACACCATGCAAGGTTCTAAAGATCTAAAACAAGAGGAATACATTCCAAGGTCTTCAGTGGATCCCAGAAATCACAGACACCACCAACCGCTATGTATACTGTGCTCTTACCCATATATACTCTTGTACTTTGGGGCCATCACTAAGTACATAGGCACTGTAATTCCACGACAGTGATCTGGTAAGTGGGGTCTATTAAGTGATTCACAGGCAGGTATCATACACAATGTGGGTGGATACCCTGAACCAAGGCATGGTTTACATCCCAGATGGCTGGTGCAAGAGGTCATCACACTACTCAGGACAGTGCATAATTGAAAACTTATGAGTTGTTTATTTCTAGAATTTTCCACTTAATATTTTCAGACCACAAATGACTGTGGATAATGGAAACAACTACTGTATTCTTTTATAGCAGCACAAAACAGATTAATACACTCTTTAAAAGCTACAATCTGAAAAATCAACATTTACTGAGTTTACTGAGTTTATCCAGGGCACTATGCTAGCTAGTCACTGGAGATACAATAAAGTATGAAAAACACTGCTATCTTTGCCCCTAGAGTTCTTATAATCTTTGATGACATGGAAGACAGAGAGAGACAGACAGACAGTGCCTAAACATAAAACAATCCTTCACACAAGGATTTATTTGCCCAAGAGCCACAACATACTTTTTCTAAGTTATGTAATCAAGCTGCCAATTAAATGATTTTAATTATTAACTTTTAATTCTAATTATAATCTGAACATGTAATTCATTTTTTAACAATATAAAATGTTCATGTCTGATTATAATATGTATTTAAATTATAATTTAGTTAGAAACACAGACTTTAAATACCCTGTAAGGCAAGACACACTAATTTCAATACAGTACAGTATTTGGTTTTCACCTTATTTCCACATTTCATGCAACTATTTTAGCTAAACTCTTCACAATAAATTTCTTATCATTAGTGTCACTTCTGGAGTTAAAATATATTGTGTTCAGCCCCAGATAAGTTGCTTGAAATACAGCATTTTTTAATTTATGTGTGAGATACTCTCACTGGGAATCTGTTTGAAGGTGATTGATTTTTCAATGATTCATGTAGCTGGATTTTTAAAAATTTCTACAATGGAACAACTTAGCTACTTTTAATGTATCTTTAACATTTATAAATGTGAAGTCATAACTCTTCTCCAAGGATTAGAAAGTCTGGAGGTCCATAAAACAGTTAATAGGGGCTACGGATGTGCAACCCCACTCCACCCCATGTATTGGTACATGGAGTCCAGGAAGTCCAGTGCACCCCCATCCATGTGTACAGCTAAAACTCAAAGGAGGACACACCACAGAATGCACTCCATATGTGCTGTTAGCAAGCCTATGATGGAAGCAAGAAGCAGCAAATGAAAAATCACCCAACCCATCGCCTCCTCCCACTGTGATGCCC